TTCTACAAATCAATTGGACTTAAACTACTAGTATAATGACTTTGTGACGATTAATCGCTTGTCTGATTACATGTGACGACGAATTATTGGATTGGCAGCAGCCGGACGAAAAATGAAAGAGATCTCGGAACGGTTAATTTGTTGAGGAAAACAAAACAAACGCAGCCAGTGATACATTTTGAAAACAAAAATTCAGAGGCAATCAGAGGCGCCGACCACGCGCGTTAGAAATAAATAAAACATCTGTTTTAGTATGTTGTGACAGTCTCACCAAACTCTTTTACTCGCGCAATATAATTATGTTATTTCCCAAAGCACTTATATTTAATACATTGACGAAAAACACCGCAAGAAAAAATGTAAATCAGGCTTATAATTACAAGTAACTCTACTCGAACGCAATGAGTGAATTCGAGAAAAATTATGCTGATGTGAGAACAAGCCATATACCCACGGAGTACTCGCTAAAACATCGAGAAAATGTGTCATTTCAAAGAGCACCCTTACAAATAATGTCTGCGATTGTGTGAACATGATAACGTGCAAACAAGGAACAGAGCTCGTGGTCCACCAAGGAAACTTAGCGATGACGCAGTTTTAGATGTATACGGCTGTTGAAAACAGAGACTCCTTCGTTCTCATATAAGCAGGTTCACGTGGATGTATCATTTTCAACTTTTACCAACAACGCTATGATAATAAAGACATTGTGAAATTATTTTGTTTTTATGTAGAAAAATACAGTAATTTTACCAAGTAAAATCATATTTATTAAAATTGTTGTTCATACATGAGTTGTCGAACACACTACATAGTTTGTAATTTCATCCAGCTCCTTTCAGTCACGATTCAAGACAAATAAAAGGCACAAATATAGATAATATATCAAATTATTTTTTTCTGTAATATTCGTGTGTAATCTGTAATTATGAAAAAAAAATTATGGGTACATATGGAATACATTTCGTTATGAATTATTCTTAATATCAATTTCTAAATTATCTTGTCAAAATCAGTTTTTTTTCAGGGTTTTTCCCCCAAAACGAAAGAATTTCATAATGTCGGGAACGAGAAGTTTTTGTTGTTGTTGTTATTATTATTTATTGGGAACGGAAAGTCTTTATCGTAGTGCTCCGCCTCGGTTGACAATGAGCTCTTCGGGTCGCTAAAACTGTATGTGCATCTCTGTTGGGGTGAACATTTGTATTATTATACTTAGAACAGAAATGGTGGCACTCAATCATGGCAATCTTATAGGTCATCGTTAGAAAGATTTTCGGAGGCAAATTTAATCTTGAAGGATTGCAGGAAATTGACCCTTAACGATTCATATTTATGAATTAATCGGGATTCAGGTACCATAGTGTTTGTAACAGAAAAAAAAAGAAGGTTTTCGCGGGGGATTTTTCATGCAAACATTGTGAATGGTTCCCCGACACTGATTCCTTTTTAACTTTCAATTTTTCTAAGACGCGGCAAACCCTGCTCATGACCGGAGACGTCGTCGAGATGCAGGTGCGATTCCTCTTAGCAACGCGTTCTATTTATTTCCAAAGCGTGTGGTCGGCGCCTTTGATTGCGTTTATTTATTTATTTTTATTCAAGTAATCTATCACTGGCAGCGTTTGTTTTGTCGCGTCTCACAACTTAATGTCCAAGCTGACTTTGTTTTGGCTGTAAGTGAACTACGTACAGCTCCTGAAAGTATTTCGCCCAGAGTTCGCAAAAAACGGAATACCCTGCAAAATTTGAATCCTTTATTCTTATAACGAGACATTGGGCGCAAAAATAAAAACCATAATTGTAATTCAACAAGTTTATGTAACGTGTTAGTCCGCTTGCCAGCCGCCTAGTTAAAAAACGCGATCTCCATAGATGTCGGCTTCGACAACTTCGGACAAGTACGATGGGCGCTGGCCGACATTACATTTGCAAGTATTGTATTTGTTTGACAAATTGTACACTACGGTCATTCTATAACAATCGATCAGTCGTTTTTTTTCACAGTCTTACTATTCCTGCAGATATTCTTCAATTGTTATAGGTGCCACGGATTTTAACATAACTACAACTTGACCCGTGTTAAACCCAAACCATGCGTGCATGACAACCGTCACCCTACACACGGTTACTCAACGAATACCGTACTCTACAGTAGACATTTTTCGCTCTCCACAAAAATAGAATGGTTTTATTTCATAATAGTTGTGTCAGTGTCGTATTTGATTTCACATGTTTGGTTCGATCTTGTTTGTGGTAGACATTATTACTACGCGTATGTATTATTACCAAGTTTTATATGGCCTTGTGATCCACCGTATTTTTTCAACGGTCGTTCTATAAATTTCTGATTGTATTTATTCTTATTTTAACATCATAAAAACAAAAATGATACACTTGTACATGAAACAGTAGGTAATGAACTGTAAATGCGGGCGGTTGTGCTGTCAGGCGAGCGAGCGAGCAAGCGATTGCGCGAGCGGATACTTCCGGTTTTGCGCGGTCGAAAAAAAAGCGGAAATTGCGCGGTCGAATTGAACAAAGCGAGCGAAAAAAAAGCGATCGAAATCCGGAAGCGGGCGGGAGGTTGGGCGAAATGAGTACTGTATTTAGTGGTAGGGAAGAGTCTTACATAGCAATCCAATAGTAGCTTTACACCTATTCCATTATTTAGTGGGTAAGGAAGAGTCTTACTTAGCAGTCCAATAGGAGCTTTATGCCTATTCCATTATTTAAAGGGTAGGAAAGAGACTTACCTGGCAATCCAATAGTAGATTTAAACCTTATACACCTATTCTGATATTCACAGTTCCTAATAACATTATCTGTGAGTGGTGGAGTCGGACATACGCTTTCTTTCAAACCTAGAAACACAGACATAACCTTTTAAATTGCTCCCTCTAATGGTGAAATGATTTTGTGACATATAAGAGACGCATTAATACTTTTTTATCTTTAGGCAATCAAAGCAAATGTTTTTGAAAGATTTACTACTGTAAGATAATATTCTAAATGACGTAAGACTACACAAAGTGTCAATTTGAATGACATTACTTTCACAGTTATAGAAGCACTTAATCTTTTCAACACCAGTTCCCTCTTTTCATCACAAATTCACAAAGTAGTTCCATTTATAGTCTGCACTTTCCTTCAAAAAATTAGGACAAAAATTGTAAATTGACTAAAATGTTGGCTGTTGGTTCCAAAAATTAGGACAACAATTGTAATTTGACTAAAATGTTGGCTGTTGGTTCCAAAAATTAGGACAAAAATTGTAAATTGACTAAAATGTTGGCTGTTGGTTCCAAAAATTAGGACAAAAATTGTAAATTGACTAAAATGTTGGCTGTTGGCTCCAAAAATTAGGACAAAAATTGTAAATTGACTAAAATGTTGGCTGTTGGTTCCAAAAATTAGGACAAAAATTGTAAATTGACTAAAATGTTGGCTGTTGGTTCCAAAAATTAGGGTTTATTTCCAGAAGAATATGAGAAAAAAGTGAAGAAAAATTTGGGTGAGTGGTGAAAAGATTAATCACGAGAGACTTGTGTGAATATTGGAAAAAAAGTATTCATACAAACAGATCACAATAATTTCTCTATTGGAAACACAACTTTAATATAGAAGGAAAGCACATACACTAACAATATGAGGTTATTATGAGGATACTGTAAAGTATGCACGACAGAGGGAGTATCGACTGACACACAGTGAAGGTTGATGCAACTGTGTACTGTCCGAGTACATACTTTGCAGTATCCTCGAACCAGGTAATAACGTATAATTATAATTATTATACATCTTTTCCCTCTAAAGATACATCATAGAAATGCTGCAATTTATGGCGTTACAGTGACAGATGTATTATAATAATTGCATATATTGTATGATGGGTTATCAAAATATGACTTATTTTAATAATAGATATACCTGTTATATACATAGAAGAATGTGCTAATAAAGCAACTACAGCCACTTCAGTTGAAATTAATTGAGAACACATGACCCATTACCATCCCTGCTATTCCAGTGGAGCCTACCACCCCTGCTATTCCAGTGGAGCCTACCACCCCTGCTATTCCAGTGGGACCTACCACCCCTGCTATTGCAGTGGAACCTACCACCCCTGTTATTCCAGGGGAACCTATCACCCTTTCTATTCCAGTGGGACCTACCACGCCTGCTATTGCAGTGGAACCAACCACCCCTGCTATTCCAGTGGAACATATCACCCTTTCTATTCCAGTGGGACCTACTACCCCTGCTATTCCAGTGAGACTTACCACCCCTGCTATTTCAGTGAGAGCTACCACCCCTGCTATTCCAGTGGGACCTACCACCCCTACTATTCCAGTGGAACCTACCACCCCTGTTATTCCAGGGGAACCTATCACCCTTTCTATTCCAGTGGGACCTACCACCCCTGCTATTGCAGTGGAACCTACCACCCCTGTTATTCCAGG